AAATACACAAAGAGGAGTACAAAAAATGATACTCAATCCAGTTTCTTAGCAAAAAGTAGAATTTTATTTTTCTTTCTTGCTTAAAAGTTGGTATCTTTCACTTGTTTTCTTAATGTGATGGATTTTCTAATGTTAAACCAAGCTTGCATTCCAGAGTCAAACCCAACATAGTCAAAATATATTATATCTTGTTTATATATTGCTAATTTTGGTTTGTTAATATTGTGTTAAGGAGCCCTGGTAGTGCAGTAGCTAAGTGCTCGGCTGTGAATCAAAAGGTTGCCAGTTCGAACCTACCAGCTGCTCCTTGGGAGAAAGATGTGGCAGTCTGCTGCCGTAAACATTACAGCCTAGGAAACTGTATGGGGCAGTTCTATTCTGTCCTACAGGGTTGCTATGAGTTGGAATCAACTCGATGGCAACGGGCTTTTGGTTTTAATATAGTGTTTAGGATTTTTGTTTATATGTTCATAGGTAAAACTGGCTTATGATTTTACCTTCTCACACTGTTCTTGTCATGTTTTGGTATTAAGGTTATATATGAGTCTGTACGAGACTGGAATTATTTTTTCTTTGAATGTTAGGTTGACCTTGCCAGTGACTCTGTCTGGGCCTAGAGTTTTCTTTGTAGACAAAATTTAAAAATTAGTTCCAATTTTATTCATAGTTATAGAATTATTTATATTTTATATTCCTTAATGAATCAGTTTTAGTAAGTTATATTTTTCTGGAAATTTGTCTATTTCTTCTAAGTTTTAAAATGTATTGGCAGAAAGCTGTTCATGATGGTTTTTCTTTTAAAATGGTTTTTACATAGTTTTCATTTATATGTAAAACAAAATTTGAATTTACTCAAAAATATGGAATGCTTCATGGATTTGCATGTTATCCTTGTGCAGAGGCCATGCTAATCTCTGTATTGTTCCAATTTTAGTGTACGTGCTGCCAAAGTGAGCACTCATAATAGTTTTTTGTTGTTGTCTGCATCTGTAGCATCTGTAGTGATGTCCTCTTTTCGCTCCTGGTATTGGTTATAATAAATCCTGACCGGGCCACCTAGCCTGCCAACAATAGTGTAGACGTGACTGGATGACACCGTCTTGACTCCGTTGCTATATATGCAAAGCAGAGGCACCTGGATGCCCCACTCCTGCTATGTAGGTACTATACCTACGTAGCACACATGACTTTCAACCAGCCTAGTGTGTATCTGAACTGATAAAACCCAGATATTGCCGTATAATCAATAGCACCCAGAGGCTTTACTTTCCTAATATGGGACAAGAAAGTTTGTGATCCTGAGAGCCTTCCTAGATTCCATGTTGGATTGGGCTGCCTGCTTGGCTGTATATGTTTCCACTCAAAGATCAATCCTTGAGCACAGTCTTTTTTTCCCTCTAAAAATTATTCTTTTTTCACTTCAGCAGTCTTGCCAGGAAGTTATCAATTTCATAAATCTTTTCAAAGAACCATCACTTGCCTTTATTGTACCTCTATATTATGTGCTTGTTTTCTATTTCATTAATTTTTGTTCTTTATTATATCCTTTATTTTGCTGTTCTTTTTCTAAATAATTGGAATGGATGCTCAGCTCAGCATTTTTTCTTTTCTAATATATGCATTTAAAGTTATTAAATTTTCTCTAAATACTGCTTGAGTTGCATCTCAATCACTACTTTCATAATCTTTCAATTCAAATTATTTTTGAATTTTCATCATAATTTCTTCTTTGACTCATGGTCTATTTAAGAGTATGTTTCTTAATTTCCTACTACATAGGAGTTTGGGCAATGTTATTGATTTATAGTTTCATTGCATTGTATTATAGGACATGGTCTGTGTTATTTCAATCCCTTTTAATTTCTTGAGACTTGTTTTGTGGCGTGTAGATGATTACATTTTATAAATATTCCATGTACATTTGAAAAGAAGGCATATCTTGCAGTTGTTGGGTAAAATGGGTTAAGATTGTGTGTCAACTTAGCTGGGCCATGATTCTCAGTGTTTATATGTGATCACCCCCATGATGGGATCTGCTGTGAGTAGCCAATCAGTTGAAAGGGAGTTTCCTTGGGCGTGTGGCCTGCATCTGAATATAAGTGGACGTTCTGGCTTTTGCCCTCTCTGGATCCCGCAGCTGCCTTCTGTTTGTCTGACCTCCGGTTTTTGGGACTTGAGCTAGCAGCTTACCTGCTGATCTTGGGATCTGTCCATCTTCACAGCCTGTGAGCAAGAGCCCTGCTCTCCAACCTGCTGATCTTGGGTTTGCCAGCCCCTGTGGCTACGTGAATCAGGAGAAGCCTCTATCCTGATTCATGGACTTGGGACATTCCATCCTCTACAAACGTGTGAGCTGTTTCCTCAATATAAATCTCTCTCTCTCTCTATATATATATTTATATGCTTTACTGGTTTTGCTTTTCTATAGAACCCAGCCTAAGATAAATCCCTTTTAATTTCTTGAGACTTGTTTTATGACCTGTAGATGATCACATTTTATAAATATTCCATGTACACTTGAAAAGAAGGTATATCTTGCAGTTGTTAGGTGAAGTGGCTTTTGTACGTTCATTATGTTAAGCTTATTAATTGGGTCATTCAAATCTTACAGATCCTTACTCATTTTTTTATGCATTTGTTCTATTAATTAATGAGAAATGTGTTGAAATATTTCATAATGATTGTGGATTGCTGTATTTATCTTGTAGGTAACAATTTTTGCTTTATGTATTCTGAGGCTATTTACTAGGTATATATAAATTCTAACTTGTGACATTTCTCTGGTGAATTTAATCCTTTACCATTTTGAAATAAGCCTATTTCTAACAATGCTTTTTAACTTGAAAGCAATTCTGTTTCCTATTATAGTTACCCCAGATTCGTTTTGGTGAAGAAGACGTAACATACATTTTTCTATCTTTTTGCTTTCAATATTCCCCCCCACTTTAAAACCGTAAGACAAGGTTATTGCTATCTTATACAGTTTCTTTAATTAAGTTTACCCACATATTTACCATTTTCTTTTTCTCTTTCAACTCAGAACGTCTATCTGGAGCCAATCTCTTTTTGTTTGCAATACATCCTTTAGAATTTCTTTTAATGAAGGTCTTCTGATGGCTACTTTACTAGGTTTATTATGTCTTTAAATGACTTTATTTCACTCTTGTTCTTGAAACATACTTTTGCTGGGCATGATATGTTGTCATTTATTTTCTTTGTTGCTTCTTGGAAAGTAATCTGCTTCTTTAAAAATATTTTCTAAATTTTCTCTTTCTCTTTGGTGTTCAACAGTCTCACAATAATCTGTCTACGTAATTATGTTACTTGATATGTATATCTCTTTATTTTTCCTACTTAGGACTCATTGGGGTTCTGGAATCTGTTGGTTAGTTTTCAAAAGTTCTTAGACATTACTTCAAGTGGTGCTTCTGCCTCATTCTTTCTTTCCTCTCCTTCTGGAAATCCAATTTTATGTTATATTAAACTTGCCTGACTCTTACTCTTTTCTTCACATTTCATATCTCTTTGTTTTTCTGTGCTTTCTGAATAATGTCTTCTAACCTCTCTTCTAGTTTACTAATCTTCTCTTCAGCTCAAATTAATTTGTTGTTAACTTTAATTGAGTTTTTATTTCACTTATAATATTTCTTATTCCTAGGTGGTTATTTAGTTCTTTTCAAACCTGCTTGATATTTTTGGTTTTATTTTTCTAGATTAGATTTTCTTTGTGAACATAGCATAATTACTTTATATTCTGATTCTGATAATTCCAATAAATGAAATCTTGGTGGCTTTTTTTTTTTAATGTTAATTCTTGCTTATGTACAGTGTCCCTATATACTTAGTAATTTTAGATACTGAGTTACTCATATTCCCCGGAAAATTATTTACAGATATTCTTTTAGATTTGCTTGACTTATTTCCAAGACAATTTGCTTTGTAGTATTCTAAGGGTAGTACATGGAGTGGGTATACTTCTGGTTCAACCTTCCACAGAGGGTTGTGTAAGGCAATGTTTTCTGTATTCTAGTTTTTGAGAAAAGTGTCTCTTACTTGACTCACTGAGCAGTTCTTGGAATTTGTCTTTTGTTCTCAGGGTTCACAAGGTCATGCAATCCAAAGTTCAATTTTTTTACCAGGTTCAGAAACCTCAGTGTAAAAGTGGTTTTGATGCTCCAGGCTTCCTCATTCACTTAGATTTCAGATGCATAAATCCTTACTATTTTGCTAGATATTCAGTGTTTTTTTAAGGACTTAAAAATAGTTACTTTAGCTTCTTAAATTATTTTTAGTTGGAGGACATGCCCTAATATCTAATCCTGTTACTTGATATGGAAGTCAATATTTGATCTCTAAATTAATTATGACTATGTAAATTATTACATATTATACATATGTAAAATATTACATAGTTGCTGTTGTCCATTTGATCCCATAAAGATAGTTCTTAGAAGAGCATAATGTTCATTGCAGACATATTTTACTGGTTAAGCTAAACTATTGTTTGGTTTTAAGAAGACTTCAGGGAATACTGGTTTAAGGTTTAAAGATTATCTCAAGGCAAGAGTTTCTTATATTTGGCTTTTTAAAAGTGAGTACAAAAGGATTTGTCAGGGATAAACCAAAGGAATATACCCTGAGGGTGTAATTTAGTTAATATTTAAGCAAATCAGCAAAAAGGTATAATAAATTAGACAACTCCTTTAATAAAAACAAAACTCTTGTCCTACATGGTTGGCAATGGAGGGGGAATCTCCACAATGGAATATAAAGCAGAACCTTATGATCCCAATATTGACCTCCAAGATTAAGCTTTCCCTACAATTCACCTTCTTCTTTAGGATTCCCCCTAATTATCCCTGCAACCACTCCCAGGCCATGAAGAGGCACTGTGACTCAAGGATGAAATCAAGTTCTTCCTTAATACCCAACCACAAAACTGAGCAAAGTAGCAATGTTTATAAAAGATTTTATGAACTTCTCAGGGACATCTAAAGGGAAATTAACATAGAGACGGCAAGAAACTAGATAATCTGGTATGCCAGAGGTACGTTGTTCTTTGTGGGTACTAGTCCTATCCATCCTAGTTCCTAGTCCAGCCCTATATTCAGGGTATTGTCCTAGTTCCCAGCATTCAGAAGCATGAATACTCTCATTCTTCTTTTTCTAAAAGCAAGAGATGAAGGCTCAGAGAGACACCAACTTCTATTGGTCTAGCTAAGGCCTTTCTTGTGGCAGAGACTGCAAACTGGTAGCTTATGGACTATGTCTGGTCCACAGATATATATTGCTAGGTCTGCTCTACTTAAAAAATAATTTTTTAAAAATTTAGTTGTAAGCATTTAAATTTGGGTGAGATCACATTAAAAAGAAAACAACACTTTCCAGCAGTGAAGCGCACACACACACACACACACACACACACACACACACACACACACAGATCTGACAACACCTGACCCCCACTGCCACAAGGCAAGAGTTGGCTGGAGTTGAGTATCGGGCTGCCCCTTTTCAAATGGGCATGTGCTCTCCAGTTTGTTGCAGTCTCTATTTGGCCAGCTTCACTCATTTATGTTGTCTACCTGCCCTTGCTTCTGAATTACAGTTCTCCGTCTGAGGATCTACTCTTCCCCAGGTGATGAACTGGGAAGAACCATCAGCAATCACCTTCCCTTTCAGGGAAGACCCCACACTACCCGTCTCAGGGCTGTGGCCTTGTAGACCCAAGTGGCCTTGTAGACCCAAGTATATTAAGCCATAGTCGCAAGATTTGTACACAAGATACAACATTTATAATGGAGTGGTTTTGTTATAAGGAAGATTTTTGCTGACAAGAGCTAGTATTATCCAGTAGCATTTTAGAGATGGATGCCATCTAAGTAAGTACAATATTCACATATATATTGCAAGGTGAAAATGCTAGCATTTACATCTCTGAGAGTCTGAGTCTAGTTA